CCCCCCCAACCGCCGCCCCCGCCGCGCGAGGGGGGGGCGTGGCCTGCGCGCGCCTGCGCCCTGGCCATCGCCCGCCACCGTTGCCTCGTTGCGGCTCCTTCTCCTCCTCCTCCTCCTCAGAGGCGAAGGTGGCGGACGGGCCCCGCGGCGCTGAGGGCTTCTGACCGGCGGGCATCCTTGGCCGTTCGCTTCGCTTCCTTCCTTCCTCCTCCTCCTCCGGCGGCTTGTCCCCATCGGGCACCCCTGCCTTCCCCCTTCGCCGAGCCCCGGCCCCGAGCCGGGATGCGCCCCGCCGCCGCGCGCTGCCTGGAGGCGGCCCCGGCGAAGAGGCGGCGCGGGTGAAGCAGCGGCGGCGGCGAGAAGGGAGCAGCGTCCCTCGTACCCGGCGGAGGTAAGGCAGGAGCCCCGTGGCGGGCGGGTGGACCTCGGTGCCCGTTTCCATGCGGCAGCCCCGCTGCTCTGCCCTGAAGGTCGGGCTTGGCTGGCTGGGAAGGGGTGGAGTGGGGGGGCTGCTGTAGGGGAGGATGGGCGTTGTAGTCCCGGGGGGGGGTGTTTTTGGCTGCCCGTGGGGACCCTCCCGAAGCCCCCGACCCCCCTGGACCCCCAAGCCTGGCTAGTTCTCCCCCCCCCTTTTAAAAATACCTTTAGGACTTTCTGGAGAGGTGTGTGTGTGTGGGGGGGTCTGACATGGAGGGAGGGAGACCCCCAACCCTTAACGGTTGGGGTCCTTTGTCAGGCGGGGGTTCGTGCAAGGCAGCGGGTGAAAAGCGTGCTTTTGCACCCAGCCATTGTGTGTGTGTGTGTGTGTGTCTGGAGGTGGGGGGGGCGTGGGAGAAAAGGGGGAGGCAGGCACTACATGTCTTGATCCGCAGCCCCCTTTTCCGGAGCTTTCCGTCTGGGGACCCCTTCCCCATCCTCCCACAATGAGCCATGAGACCCCTCCCCCCCTTGCACCCCCCCAAAAAAACTCCTTTGGGGTCGAGATGGGTCGCCTCTATCCAGGGATGGGACTCTGTTGGAGCATTAAGCTGGGATTTGGTGGCTTGATATTGGCCAATGTGCCTGTGACTTTGCGGAGGGTCTCCCAGGGGAACCCCGGACCGCCGCCCCCCCCCCCCCCCCCCCCCCCCCCATGCACAGGTCTGCAGCTTGGAAATGTGAGGCTGGGCTTGGGGAGGGGGAAGAGAAGGTGGAATCTAGGCCTTGGGTTCAAAACCTGCAGTGGGGGTTGCTTTCTCCCTCTTAGTCAAAGGTGCCCAGGATTGAGTGGGATCTATGGGATAATCTTTATTCTTTTCCCTTTCTGGTTGTTTCACCTGCTCTCTTTATAAGGTTTGGGAGGGGGCTACTGCTCAGTAACAACCTTTGCAAAGGTAGGCTGGCCGCTCTCCTGCAGGGGAGACTGCATGGTGGGTTACTTTAATCAAGCAGGCTTTGGCTAGGATGCTGCTACCTGGGGGTTGGGGGGGGGGAGATGGTTGCCTACAGCCTGGACCAAGGAAATAACAAAAGACTCATGCGGCACCTCAGAGATTTTATTATGACGTAGGTTTCTTGCGGAGGACACTCTACTTCATCGGACACATGGGCCGTTGTCGTGAAAGAATTGCGTACATAAAACCGTGGCTCGGAGCCGTGTTGCGTAGTAATGCTCGCCTTGTTCCGTGAAGGGCCAAGGACTCATGGCTTTGAGTGGCTCTTTCAGGATCTGAGTCCTTTGTGACTTTCCCTTGAATGAGCTTTGGCACATAAAACCTTAAGAGAGAATTCCAGATGCTTCATAGTGCTTGAACAGTGTTTGTTGGTTGTATGTTTCTGTGATTGGGTGGAAAATAAAAGACTTCCAAGGAGCTGGACAATCTTGTCTGGTGATGAGGATTACTTTCAGTTAAGTTTGAATCTGATATTGCAGTTTTAAGGCTGCCTTGGAAGTATGGCCATTCAAACGTTTCCCTTTTGCTAAATTGGGTTCAGTTAGGAACTGAAGTTCCATGACATCTGGATCTCAATCATTCCATAATCCGGTTTTGCCAGAAATCCATTGATTAAAAATGACACAATAGTTGATTTCCCACACTAGCAGCAATTAGGCTAGATGATAATTTGGTCTAATCCAATGTCATGTATCTCTTCTCTAGAACCTTAACATTAATTATATTGAAGTTGCATGCTTGGATCCCTTCTCCAGTCTTTCTCCTGCACATTAGTTTGTTTTTTTCCCCTCCTGCTTTGAAGAAAGGATGTCTCTTACGACTTTCCCTAGAGTTCCAAATACAAAAATCTGGTCTGGCAAAAGGTATTTTTCCAGAAGGTGTCATGATGGGACAGATAAGGATGTCACATTGTGAAGATGTGAGCAGGGGTTAATTCAACTAGGTTTCACAGATATTTGGGTCTTGGGAAAGCACAAGGTGTTTGGTTGTATACCTTTAAGGAAAGTAACTTCCCCGTTTTTGTTTTTTTAAGAATTTATTTTTCTGGGGTGTGGGATGGAGAATGGTATCACTGGCAATGACACTTGAAAGTTTTGTTGGAATAGTCATGAGTGGCTTTATGGTCCCTGGTGTTCTGCCAGGCCCTAAGAAAAGGGCATTGCTTTACAATCAAAGGACACCTCAGTACTGTGCTGTGATAATTCTAAGAAATTCTTGAGAAGTGCCGTTAAGAAAGTTGATGTAAGACTGTGACGGCAAGTGCTGGATGATTGAAAGAGAAGGGCATTCTAGAATGTGCTAATGCAGCCATAAGACATTATAATCGTGGCTTCTATCGTGACAAGGAGAAATTCCTTCATAAGCAATTGTGTCGTTCATGAGTGCTGCAATGAACAGAGGCTAACAAAGGACCTGTGCCATTTCCTGAATCTGCTGTTCAGTCTAATTATGTGCAATGAGTGCAGGGTCTTGAACTGATGCTTTTTAATCTTTTCTGTTCAAGAAGCTTTACGTAAAAAAGTTATTAGGTTTCCAATGTAAGCATTGCAAATAGTCTGTTTTGTGGATGGATAAACAGAATGTTTCCATTGCTTTATTTTTTTGTTTTTGTTTTCTCCAAATGTTTAATGCACAGGGCTCCTTTTGAAACTTTGTTTCAAACGAAAGTTGCTTCCTTTTTGTTGTTTGGGGAAAGAGAGTGAAACAAGGTTTTTAAATACTTTGTTGCTCATTTAAGCCTCTTAGCATCACATGAAATACATAAGTATATTAAATGACGATGACAATAAAATATGTATAGTTACAATCCATAGAAAGTACGTTAGTATTTTGTGGTGGTTTGTGAAAGGGGAGCTTTTGGTATTCATGATATATAATAGCTAAAATTTTGTGAAAGCATGCATAGAAATAGATTTTGAACTAAATATACAGAGCATAAATGGAACTTTTATGTTTGGGCATCTTGTTACCATCTGGAAATAACATGTTCACCATTGAGAATTTTGAATGGACAGGAATATCTATCTTATTAAAAGCCCATTCTGTATATATATTTCAACAATTTTTAGTATTGGCAATTATCAAACGCTAACTCACACTCACTCACACACACACACACACACACACACAGTATATGGATAAATGTGCAAATACATATACAAATACAGCCTCACTAGGACTGTCAGTAATACGTACCACTGATGGTTCAGGCAACCACATTTTAATAGGAAGACTCTTTAACTGGGTATATATTTGCAGATGTATAATAGTTTGCTGCAGCTTTATGGCTAAACACTTTCTTCATGCAATTCTTGTAGTATTTTAGGGATACTTTCACCAAAGCAATGGTGCTGATAGGCAATATATTTTATTTACTAATACTTCAGTGCTGCAAATAGTTTATGTGAATGAACTGTATCATTTTTGTTGATTGTGAAAAAGAAAAAAAAAAGGGATGATCTGGATTTCTGTTTGGAAGATTTCCCGTCATTCGATATGACATTAAATATTAATAGCAATAGCACTTAGACTTATATACCACTTCACAGTGCTTTACAGCACCCTCTGTGCCAGGGGTGGCAAACTCACAGCGTCACGGTGATGTATTGTGATTTTTTCCCTCCCTTCGTTAAACTGGGTGTGAGGGTGGCTAGCACGCAACTTGCATCTGGCCCATGGGCCGCAAGTTTGACAGTTCTGCTCTAAGTGGTTTACAGTGTCAGCATATTGCCCTCAACAATCTGGGTCCTCATTTTACCAACCTCATGGAAGGATGTCATTAAAAGACTGTAAGTCTTTATTTTTTTTAAAAAAAATTAATACTTTGCTAAGAAGTTAAAAAAAAAAAAAGATTGAAGCTACGTGCAGCATGGGATAAATTCCTTGATATATTTATACATCTACAACCTTTTGAAACAAGGCTGACTCACTTGGGAAGGAAAAACACACCTTCTGCTTGCAGAGGTTGCTGTAGGTAGATTTAGATGAAGCTCAAGTCACTGTAGGTCATAGTCCTTCAGGATCACAGATAGTTCTAAAGGATTCACAAACTTTCTCTGCTTGATGTATGCGAGCCTAATTGTAAGCAATCGTGATCCGTTTGGCTTTGTCTCAGCATGTCACGAACCACAATACTGTGGTTCGTAAATTATGATTTGAGTCATAGCATAATGTGCTAACCTAGCCCAGTTGTGGTTTTTTACATTATAGCAAGCCAGGTAAACTGTGGCTTTGCACAAAACCTGATCCTGATCAGAGTGATCCCTGCAAGAGGAAGATAGGAAGGTATTTCGCTTGTTTTACTCCTCCCAGGTGAATCATTTGGGAAAGGGGAAGAGAGAAGGACGATCCTCATAAGGGCTTGTAGCATCTCTGTCTCTTTCGCTGCTGGAAACCGGATCTGAAGTTGTATGTCGGTGGCACATCAGCCACGCACAAGAATGCTGTTGTCACAAATATTTTATATCATAATCCTGTTTGTTCCTCATCCTCTCTTGCGCACAATATGCTGAGACAGTGAGAAGATGCCCTAGCCCCTGTTTTGGTTAGGCATTTGTAGTCTTGGAAATAAATGGGGAATAATTATTGCCCGCAGTCTCATACCTTTCATAGATTTTTTTTTTCCCTCAAGGCAGAATCAACAGCTTTTGTGCCAACTAGCAACCGGTCTCAAATGCCCTTTTCCTGGGCAAGAAAATAAAGAGGGTGTTGGCTAGCTAATTGGCTGCAGACGAGTGTAGAGGAAGCAGATTTTGTAGACCCATCTTATCCTGGCCTTGGGCCACAGTGCAGCATGGAAAAAGTCTTGACTGCTCTGATGCCCTTTTCCGGAAGACAAAGAAAGAGACCATTGAGACCTCGGCATATTTCGTTGGAATCACTGAGAGTTGGAACAGGGTTTTTCACTTATTTCCATCCCTGCTAGAGGTTCATTACCAGGGAAGGGACATCTATTTTG